ATATTGATTATAGCCATGAAAAAAAAACAATTCACTTATGTGTTTTTTTTCTATTCCCATCGTTTGTAATGATAGATATGAGCTTGTAAATATTTTTTAAATTGATTTTAGGTTTTTATGTCTTTTTTTTAGATTATTTGAGATTATGAATGAGTTTGTCAAGATATAGAGGATGCTTTTCAAATATTGTGGGTTAAAGACATTTGAAAATTAAGTTTTTTGATTAAAAAAACATGTATTTTTAGTGATTCTTTTATTATCTGAAATGAGACCAAATGGCAATATGTTGCTTGTTTTCAAAAAGAAATATATATAAAAGGTGAACAACAAGTCTTCCTCCCCTTGAAGAACAAAAATAAAATCAAATTAAACTTAAATACAAAAAAATATATGTAATGATCATTATAACTAATAATTAAAATATATATATAATTATTTTTTTTATTTACTTGAGTCTTGTGATGTGTAGTATGAGAAGTTAGGACGTGTAATTATATTTTTATGCGAAGGTTAATAAACTATGAATTATTATTATTAAGTATGATTTTTGAAAAAAAATAATAAGTGTGAAATTTATATAGAATCAAAACTTACAGAACTTTATTTTTAAATAATTAAAATAAATTATAAATCTCTAGACTTAATTTACTCATGTATAAGTGATTTAAAGTTTATGTAAACTAAAGATAAAAAAATATTATATTATATTTATAGATGATTTATACTTATTTGATTATAGGTAAAGATAAAGCTTTTAAAATATTTAAATATTAAAAAATAAAGTTGAAATTTAACTTAATAAAAAGATAAATATAAAAAAATGATATAAAAATAAAGAATATAAAGTATCATTTGCTAAATTATGTTCCTAAATTACATTTATCTTGACGATAAAAGTCACCAAGATATCCTTCTCTTATCAAAAGTTTAATGGGGAGAATGGGCCTTAGCAATCAGGGAAATCAGAAATACAAGGAGATATTTCAATAGGCTGCCGAGCACAATTGAAATGAACCCAGGCCCATATAAATAGGAGCACCCTATCCAATCCTACCCCCCCCCACAACTCATACTTCCTCAGTAAACGCCATGGCTGTTCTCCCTGTATTTCGCACTATCATCACCCATTTCTTCAAATCTAAAACCCTAAACCCTTCCCTCTCACCACTCTTCCAAGAACCCACTGTTAAAAATCTTTCCTTTCTCGCCAAGCACAAAACCCTTCCGAAACCCCATGCCTCTCTCAATTCAAAAACCACTTTACTTCTCAATGGTCAAGACCAGCGCTTTATGGGCCTAAATGGTACTGACGACAAGTTGATATCTACCACTATTGCAGCCATTGTAACCTCCGTGGGTGGCCCACCTGCTTCCGTGGGGATTGTCAGGTTATCTGGTCCATCTGCCGTCGAGATTGCTGCACGTGTGTTTAAACCAATGAGAAAAAAGAAGAAAAAAGGATTTTGTGTGTGGAAGCCTACCAGTCATGTCGTAGATTACGGGGTGGTTTTGGATCATCAAGGGAATGTAGTTGACGAGGTATGTTTGTTTTTCCATGGTTTTTTTAAGTGCTTAAAATGTTGAAAAGGGATCGTCATCAATGCTCTTGGAACTTAGCTGAGTAATCATAACTTATGAATTGGCGAAAAAAATGCATTTTTTTCCTGCGGGATTTTTATTTTTGCAAACTGGATTGATGGGAGTTTTTTTCTGGTAGTTTTTTATTTTTATTTTTAATTTTAATTGAATGATTGAATGTCAAATTTGTTGTTTTTATGGCCTGGTTGTTTTGGTTAGCCCACGGTCTTGGTCCTTCTTCCTTACAAAAAGGGTTTTATGTTGGTTTCTTACTTATTTCAGGTTTTAGCTGTACCCATGTTGGCTCCAAGGTCTTACACTAGAGAAGATGTGGTTGAGCTTCAGTGTCACGGGAATGAAGTCTGTCTTCGTCGTGTGCTGAGAGCTTGTATAGAAGCTGGAGCCAGGCTTGCTGAACCAGGTTGCCTTCTTATTGGATCTTGTTCTTGGACAAATGAATTTTGGCAAGACAAATCTATGGCTTTCGACGACATTGACTCCTTAATGTGCATTGCCAAAGTGGTCAACTCTTTTTCGTTTCTCTCTTTCAGGTGAGTTCACTCTACGTGCATTTCTAAATGGCCGGCTGGACCTTTCGCAAGCTGAAAATGTTGGAAAGCTTATATCATCCAAATCCGTGGCTGCTGCAGATGCAGCCCTCGCTGGGATTCAGGTATGTGTTCTTTGAAGCACTCAATTTATCATCCATTTGTCTTCACAATTTAATCCTACCTCTGACCTTCAAGTAATTAGGAGTTCTTATTTACATCGATCGTGTGAGTCTTTGTTGAAAGCATGGCTAGCAGCCCTGAAACAATTTCTTTGACAGGGAGGCTTTGCTTCTTTGGTCAAATCACTAAGAACGCAATGCATTGAGCTGCTTACTGAGATTGAAGCTCGTTTAGACTTTGATGATGAGATGCCGCCGCTAGATTTGAATTTAATCATGGAT